ATAGAAACATTCATTATTATAACCAAATGTACTGGTGACTGTTTCACCATAATTTTTGTCTATTACACTCTGTACGCGCAAACATTTTGTTTGTGTTGCTGCTATTTCGGCTCCACTGTCTCTGTAACTTCGCCCATCTTTTCTGGCACAATTTCGGTATTCTGTCGATACCACTAGACCACCAGCAAATACATCTATCCGTATGGATTATTTTATCTTCTCTGTGACGGACATATAATTGTTGTGGTGGTGGTGATCATAGTCACTTTCAACTCGACGCGCCACTAAATACTTAACATCATCCATCGTGACCCAGAACGCCTGGTTGATGGTTCTTTTATAGGGAACATTCAGTTCTGGAATAAAAATAACAGATGCAGGATATCAGGCGATTTTAATGCATTTGAAGGCTTTGTTCGTGAAAATCCCTCCATGTATACATTTGTAATATGTCCTTATTGATTCCTTCAGTTGTACATTTTCTTGATCTGTTCGATTCCAGTTTGAGATGGTACTATTTGTATTTTATTATAGTTTCTGTTGCTTCTGCCTTTACTGTGTTTCTATGTTTCTTCCCGAACTGCATTTATGTTGTTTAATCTGATACTTAGTCATGGCGACAGCCATATTGATTTGTACCTCCTTTGATTGAGTTGCTTGCTTTGAGTAGAATTGTGCATTTTGAATGTGAATTGAAGCACTCTTACACACAGGATAAGGAACACTCTGTGTTATAAAGCAACCAAATATTATCTGTCGAACGAATCTGATCTATCCAGAAGGGATAGAATACCATTTACTTAAATAATTGAACAATTATTGTGGAATGGCTGTGATATTATTGTTTGGGTAATGGTGTATATTTATATTTATGATGAATATTAGAACCGTCATTTACCCAAATCACTTGTTGTGGATTTCAACTGGGCAAGACGTGTAACTAAACTTCTTAGACAGTTATTTCTCAGTTTGGACCCCACACTGAGATCTTTTGATGGATTTCGCAGCAGTAGATAAGTTGCAGAACAAATATTTGTGTCGTCAATACTGATGCTGATCCCATAAGTTTCACTCGACAGACCCTAGTTGATGGTGCCAAGCTTCCACACTAGATCGCCGTTGAGTACTCTATGTCATGCATCAACCCGTATAAGCTAACAAGCTTGATTCACTCACTCTTCAACATCTCAATCACCCTACAAACACGTCTTTGGTCTTAACCACCCTTGGCTTCTGGTTTGACTTGGTGTTCGATATTCTTAATCTGAAATTTGTGACCGACAAAACTGTTTTCAAACAGTGAATATTTGTGACAAGATCAAACGAAACATACTTTGGTGCGGCTTTTGTCTGAACACACAAGTTTTGGTTCGAAAGAAGGATATTCTTTCTAGACTTATTAACCGCTCATTTACCTGGGTACATTGCCTGTTTAAATATTTCTGCCACTAGCCAGTAGCGATCAAGCTAAAGAATTGTTAAAGAATTGTAGCATGGCATCCGGACAAGTTTATTTATCTCAATATATTCTAAATAATGAGATCCACATTTTTAAAGACTAGGGATATATGGAAAGCATTGATACGTCATAATAGACTTTGTTATGAGAGACATTTGGTAGTGAATTTCGAAAACAGTTCAGAAAGGTTGTTCTCATTTACAAAAAAACGGGCCGAGAGATTGGATATGATCCGATGAATTCATTCGGGAAGACCCGTTGATACTGATAAGAAAAGATATGGAGGAGACGACGATAGTAGAAGACTAACCATTAATTATAATAATGGCGGCTTGCTGATGGATCTTCTGAGTATTAACAAAGGAGTTGTCTTACAATCCCTTCAAATCAGATAAGTCCAGTGGTGCAGCTGATGTCCATCCTAGAATCATTAAAGCTATGACCGGTGCGATTATCGAACATCTATTACAATTACTTGATATGTCTCTAAGACAGTCTAAACTGCAGAAAGAGATTTGAAAAACGCCATCATCAGTCCGAATATAATTTGTAGTGACCCAGTTAGTCACTATCGACTTGTTAGTCTAACCTGCGTCCTCGTAAAAATAATTAAGATTAGTTCCATTACTTTCCTAAACTAAATGAAAGGAACCAATCTTTCAGTCAGAGTAAAAAGTGGCTTTATGGAAGGCCTTTCATGCTCGACCAATCCCGTCGAAACAAAATATTGAAATGCAGTGAAAGATAGTAGTATACAAGCAGTTTTACGTGGAGCCTTTACTACGTCTGTTACCTATGTCACAAAATAAAAATGAGAAGTTTTGGAAACCATAGTACTATTTCAAACAGGATAAGTTACTTCCCCAATGAAAGGAGGAAACAGATTATTGCAAACAGAGCCTTATTATTGTGAGGATTCGAAAAAACCATGAGCGATCTTTAGTTCTTTTTTGTTCCTCCTTCAATACTTACAATGAAGTAATCAGTCAAAGTTTTGCTGATGAGACAGGCATCTGAAGACCAATGCAATATAATTGAAACAAGACAATTTTACAGGAATACCTAAATTCACCGTCTGAATGTATCTACACGTAATGATTAGGAGTAATTGCTTGCAACAGTGCAATGATGCATACAAACGATTTTGACAACTCATGAAACTACGAAATAAGTGAAATGGGATTATCTTAAGTAGTAGACTATAAAGATTTATGAGTCATACTGAGTAATCAACATAAAACTAGAACAGATCTGAAGGCGGCTTCATTGTTTTAAATACTATTCACAAGTCATTTTATTACGCGGATAAAGAAATGTTCAAGATACTTTACCCAGCGTTCGTAAGACCACATTTAAAAAATGTAGTTAAAGCAAGAAGTTCTTGTTTGAAGTATGAAGCGGATACGACAGAACAAGCCTAAAGTTCGTCTTAAGCTTCATTTATAGCATCAAGTACTTAATTATTACGATTATCTTACAAAACTCGGAATTTCAGGGGTTTCTGTTGAAACAGGCTTTATGCCTTCAATACACAAATCTGTATCTGATCGCTTATTCTTACTACCAAATCCATAGACTGAGAGCTCTTATTTGATATCTATTTGATACGTATAAAATATATGGGGCAGTACCATAAGAAAAAGGAACGAACGCGAAGAAAATAATTAGTTTATACTAGTTCATGTAAATGATATTGGATATTTGGTATGTTGGGTGGCTGAGATCTTCAACACAAACGTCACCAATAAGTTAAACCAGGCGTCCACAATTCAGAGTACTAAGCAAACCCAGTACCAGTTAATGGCTAATGGAATGTCAGCATTATTCCTGACTTAGTACTAAAGGAACCTAAAATCCTTACGTCCAGGAGGCATTATTCGCTTCTTGGTCTTGAAACAATGTTCAGAAACTGTTTGTTTCCCGACATGTGACCTGTTCAGGCATTTATTCGAATCACACCAACTCCAAGTTGAATGAAAAGAAGTACCTTCTCCAGTCTACAAAGGTGAGATAAGAAGGACTCAGCATGTTACAGACCAGTCGCAATACTACAAAGACTATCATAGGTAATGGAAGGGCTGGTGAACGAACAGATGAGGGGGCTTATGGATAAGGAGAAAATACTCCCTGAAGCTTAACACTGGCTTTGGTCAGGTGGGTCGTGGGCATTCAATCGTCTCATAACATGGGACAGTTTTACATCCTGCTTGGACCGAAAAATACTGATGCACATAATGTTTTGAGACTGAGAAAGCCTCTGACGCAGTACCACTAGCACGGCTAATCGCCAAGTTTGCAAAAAGGGCTTCATTGATCCACTCCTATACTGGGTCAGAAAATACTTCGGGAATAGAAATTTTCGCAACAAGGTAAATAGAGTGTAAGCAAGTTCACAAGTCTCAAAATAGGGAGTTTCACAGGGGACCACCTTAGGTCCACTTCTTTTCCCCATATTTATTACCGACCTGTTAGGTACAGTTAACTCGCTAGAATTGATCTACGCAGACGATGTGAACATCTGAAAGTCCATTAGAAGAGAAGAGGATTCGACTGAGATTCCAAAGGACCTTACATCCATTGAGTAATGGGCAGTGAAAAACGGTCTAACACTAAACCAGCCGAAGTGTCACAACATGTACATTCTGCTCCACATGACGCAAACTATTTGCATCCTCATTGAAAGTTCGTTTCTTAATGTCTCCTCAGAGCGCAATCTCTGTCTAATAACCACAGAAAACCCCCACACCAGCTCGAACTATATAGCCAAGGCAAACGCAACTCTCCACTTAATAAGAAGACAGCTTAGTGCTCTCAACACAGAATTATTGTTAACACTGTTTAAGTCATATGCGTACCTACCCCTTGTCGTTCGTAACATCTCCGCACCACGTCTCCTTGAAAGAGACATAAATCTCTTGGATCGAGTGCAGAGACGAGCATCAAAAGGGTGATAGGGTTGAAGAATCAAACATACGAAGATCCACCCAAGCACTTAGGATTATTCCCCCTGAGTTACATGAGAATCAATGGTGATTTGATTATGACGTACAACATATTAAGCATACAAAACCATCCCAAAGTGGGATTCATTATTATATCCATTTCCTCGGATCACTAACTTAATCTATCTCGTTTATTATTTCTGCTTCCTTGACCTGACTTACAGTTCGGTCCTCTAACAAAATCATTATTATTAATTAGTTAACTTTATTATCCATTTATTTACTTAGCTCTGAGATCTTATTAACACTAGAATTTTATCCTTATTATTCTACACATTTCAAGTGATTCATTTCACATCTGGTTATGTGATAGCTGTTGGTATCCAGAAACAGTACTGCGCTGAAACGAACGCATTCATTCAAATCACGTGACATGCAAACTCACAAACAACTGCCAACTGACAGTCGAACTAAAACTCCCAAACACTTGTTACCGTGCCGAAAGAACAAGAATGAAGCGAACGGAAATCTATTGGTTTATACTAGCTCATGAAAAAGATCTTGGATATTGGGTATATTGGGTCTGTGTCGCTTTCGAAGTCGTGCGCTACCGACTTCTCTTCCAAACTATCAGTTTGTTTTAATCTCACCCCTGGTTTTTGTCGATTGCTTTCTTTATCTCATGTAAGTAAACTCTGTGTAATTGATGAGTCTTCCGCCCATTTTTTCCCTTACTTTTAGATATAACCTCATATACCGGTCCGCACCCACCATTCAAGATTCCTTCAGGCTAAACGCAAACTTACCAAATGCTGAGAATACAAGTAAATGTAACAGTTCAAAGCCTTTACGCCATCCGTCCCTAGTTTCCCGCTAAGATTCCTTAAGTCTGATTGCTGTCTATTAACATCGTTATTAAATATGAGTACATTTTCTGCGTTCTTGTTGTCGTCTCACCCCTTTTTACTCTACTTCAGTTCTTCCCACCCATACTGCTCTGCCTGCTCCCATAAGACAGACGGCAACTTTTGGCCAGACGCGAACTGCTTTAGTCACTTAATATAGGCAATTCTATTTATTTCCTCGAATGTATGTAGATATTTTCGAAATTCCCACGTGAAAGAAGCGGATGAGTCCGGTTAGATCTATAAATTCCACTGAACCCAGTGAATCTACATTTTACTCCTCATCTTCACTTACCCAGTTATCTTATTCCCGGGATCTAGGCAAAATTGTTAACTTTTGTGAGGATCAATCTATACTGTACAAGTTTACACAGAATCTGATTCTAGTCTAAATATCTTAAATGTTCGTATATATATATATATGTATATATATATATATATATATATTAGTCAATAAGACAATTTCGCTTCACAAAATCCCCCACTTGTAAAAATGATAGGTGTTGGAAGATACCTATGTAATATAACTGATCACGATGTACCAGAATGTTAATGTTAATAATGCATCCTTGTTTTAAGTGACAGGTTTGGTTATCACTGACTGTAATCAGAAAAAACTGCTAAACAATGAGGGGTTTATTAAGATTAATTAATATTATGTAAATATCGATTGTGCAAACTTCTGCCTCCACTTAATTTGTCAAAAGGTAACACTTTTGATTAGGAAAATTCGTGCATGCATAGACACCAGTTTATCAAAAATTCTATATTAAAGTATACAAAGTTAGTGTACGATCAACGTTTAGTCCATTCATCATTGTTACTGAAAACGGTAATTAGCCAGTGAATTTTAAAACTGTACAACCGTCCTTTTAATGGGGCAACATAACATGACGCTTACAGTAGTTTTCGACAAAATTAATCTATGCTTTTGGCGAAACGCAAATAAAAAGTTCAACGAAAAATGTCATATTATTTTTCTTTGCGTATTAATACTTAATTGGATTATCATTCACTCTATAAAAAAACTTTTGCTATATTGTGAATTATAGAAATATCACCACACCTACTTTTGAACGCTTGATATATAGTTTCCTGTGCAAGATGCTTCACGCGTGACATTAATTCTTGATTGTTCGCCTTCGCAGTATACATATTAGCTATACCATCGGGAGTTATGGTGCCTGTTTGATATAAAACGCGGTATCCGGTTGCTGTCGGGAATCAAGAATCAAAACATTCTATATATATATATATATATATTGTCATTGGCGCCCTAGTTATTGATTAGACAAAATTCGCATTGAATCTTTCGTTTTGATTGCGAGCTCTTCAATTCAACACCGTTGTTCAGTTTCGCTCTGATTTACGTTTACTTTTATTTTTTGACCAGGTATCCCTTACCTTTAACATCATAACAACAGATATTTTTCAGTTCAAAAAAACAAAGACATTGCCAAAAGTATCCGTACTTTGTTTCGGGAATCTGATTTCGGGATGGGAGTCCATGGATTATGGGGAATACTCTCTTCTGTCCAAGAATACCGTCCCCTATCCAAAATTGGTTGCGATTCTGTTGCTGTTGATTTGAGTATATGGATATGTGGGGATAAGTCAATAGGACCTTTACCTGCACTACATCTAAGGTACAACCACGTAAATTTTCATATGATTTCACATATCGATTGAAATTACTGTTACCCTAAGTCTGTCGTAATCACAAATAGGTGATTAAAAATGCACATGAATTAACCCATTTTATTTATCCTACTTTATTGTAGTCATTTACCACAAATAATATCATCACAATAACCTTGTGACTAAATTTTGTATTCTAATTTTAACCTACATTCGTAGTTTCCTTATTGAACACGTCTCCAGTTGGGGATCATTTATAGGATATCGCTTCTCTGCTGTAGTTGTGTGGATCTTCCTGGTGCTCACAAACGCTTCCAACAAGTTACCGAGAGTCTATCCCTTTGTTTTCAACTTCCCACAAGACTTCCACTAGTTTATTTGGTTTACATATCTTGATTGCATAAATTCATTGATCGTTACAGCTAGTGGTATTCAGCAGTGGATAGTTACTCTTATTCAAGAAGTGTAATTCAGTGAGATGAATTTAAAATATAGAGTTAATGATGAATTCAGAAGGTTTAGATTTTAGAAAACACAAAGAATGAACGCACCTGCGCCATTTTAAACGGTTTTGAGCTACGTCATTCAGGGTCGCTAACCATCGATTACTATCATCTCACAGACCCCAACCAGGTAGTCGACATCTACCGACATGACTCAGTCCACTTGTCAGTGACTGATTAGCGCCTAGTTAGTTAAGAGTTACGCTTATTAACAGTGCTCACAAAGTTCACCTGTAAGCTCATCAGCGGTATCTGGGGATAAATTATGCTTCAGAGTGAATCGTCCACCTGTGACTGACTTCTCAATGAGGTGTTAATAAATGGAAGCATTACAACTGTTTTCAGCATCTACAATCAGGTGAAAATGACGGTTAGTTAAAGTTTAAATGTAAAATCTTGAAAAAATTTCTCCGCTTTCATTCATATCCTAATTGGTGAATATTCTAAACTCTTACTCTGTTCGCTTGATTGTTATTTGTAAGTCGTCTTTCTACTAGTCAATATCTCCAAAGCATCTTTATGTTGTTTGTGAATATCCATTAAACGTTAATGATGGTTATTTAAAATATCCTTATCATCAAACCGCTGTATGTAGTGATGTAAAAATCTCCTCCGTTTTGATTTTCATACGTCTAGCTATTGTTTTCAAACGCCATGTTACCTGGTAGAGAGCTATTATCAAATTAGCACCTTTCGAATCGATTCGTTATATCTCAAAGTTGTTCGAATTCGGCATAAGTATTTATTAACACTAAGTTCTTATCAGGACGCTTAACAGACGTGGTAAAATATATTTTGAAAATCTGATTTTGAATTCTTGATGATTTCGGTAATTTCCTCTTTTTTTTCTTGAGCAGGAATTTATTTTTTCGGCTAGTTGGCCTGCTGCGTCAAAATACTCTGCCTGTAGCAGTTTTGGATGGTGTTGCTCCATCACTAAAATCCGATGTTATGGAACAGAGACAACAAAAATGGTGTGTTGCTTTTTGAAAGTTTTTAGTGAAGCTAAAGTTTGTATTAAAGTGTTTAAAGTGACTATAGTTCCGGTACATGTTGTTCTTCCGTCCTGAAGTTTATCAGTAACGGTGTGCTTCCACTGTTCCATTTAGCTAATTTAAAGTTAAACATCTTTAACACTAAAGAGTAAATTAATTAGATGAGATAGATTGATGCTTGGTAACACCGTAGAATAACTTCTTGTGTTTGCGAACATTTACCATATTTGATTTCACTAAGATGATTCAACAACAAATTAATGGCTTCCTTCCAATGATAGCGCGAATCCAAACAATAATCTAGTCGAAAACTTCATATGCCCACTCAGTCTGTTCCATTTTTCAGAAATGTTTTGTAATGTTACCATATATGTATATTTTCATCGTATTCACCATTAGTTTGTAATCAAGGTTTCCCAATTCGCCTAGGTGAATCCTCCGTATTCATAGACCCACTTTAACCGCCGAATATTTAAGCCACACAACAAGTTTTTGTAGGCAACTTCGTAAGCCCTCCCAGACCATTGGTTAGCTCTGATTGATCGTAAATAAACCAATCAGCGCGCTCTTATATGGTCTTGTTTTAGGCATGCTGTAATAAAAACTCTGTCTTAACAGTTACTTTTGTTTTATCCTGATTTATTTAACCGTAATGTTTTTATATACTTTGAGTTCTGTTATATCGTCGTTATAGTTTTCACGTCTATTTCCTTCAACGTATGGATGGTTTTGGTCACTTTTGTCCTCTCTTTTCGTAGGCCAGGGAAGATCACAACTCAGAAATATGCGAAACCAAATCTTAGTAGAATATGGTTCTCAAAAGTATCTCAGGAAGTAAGTTGTAAATTAAAGTTTTAAGGTTGTAAAGTAATCTCACTACTCATGAGTATAAATGTACAGTTGTTTTTATCGTTTCCTGACTACGGATTACTAGTTATGCTATTTTCGAAACCACTAGATTAACAATGTGATATAAAGCGAAATAGGTTAATAAGTGAAATGATGAAAATACTCCAACTAAAATACTGTGAAAGCATCTAAATTCCACTTTGTTGTTTGCCTGTCAGAACACTGGTACTTCAGATCGGAAATAATATTCAGCTCTATTCAGGGTGGTTAACTGAAAATTTTCCAGTTGCTAATCTGAACTAAATCGACCTTCGTGAGGCACAAGTGTGTAATTCTTCTCATGTTATGAGGTAGGTTGAAAATAGTCAAATAACAAACTTTGGAACGCATTTTCGTCTACGGTTGGCTTGTTTCTTTCAGAACTATCCTTAAATTGTTCTGTATTAAACAATACAATGGATGAGCTAATGAAGTAGTACATAGAAAAATAACTATTTTTCATAATAATGGTCACTTTTATGAAGAGATGTTACTGTTGTAATATATTATATGTCAAAACGAGTATGAGGTGTCGATGATTTTTCAGTTTAAAATTATTTTGTTGTATCTTTTAGTGTGTTCAACTGATTAATTCATTTGGCATTCCATGGGTTCAGAGTCCTGGAGAAGCGGAAGCTATGTGTGCATTCCTTAATTCAAATAAAGTAAGTTTTGAAGAAAGATTCACTATTTCTCTATTAATAGAACATTAATTATTTGATTTGAACACTATTCTATCAACTGCAAGTTTGTTGCTTTTTATTTTACGATCTCTAAAACATCTTGTTGCTCATCAACGCCTTAATTAACCGTGTACATCAGGTTCGAGTGATTAGCATAACTAGATATGCCGTTACATAGTATTATAGAAGTGTCATATTCGTGAATTTAAATGTAGACACAATTACTTCTGTACATTGCTTCCGATACTTATCTTTATGTTGTACATTACTGTTATGTTTTGTTTTGGCTAGAGATTTTTAATCTATATGACACTTATAGTCAGTCGAACCGGTAACCTATTTCATGAATCAATACACTAACCAGCAAGCAATAATCAAGGTCTTACTTAATACTTATTGGTCCCCAAACCCTTTTTAACCAGTTAACCTTTACAGAAGACAACAATAGGTGACACATTAATGTATGTTGTAACAAATTCAACGATAACTCAGAACTCATTCAGGAGTATAATGGGAATGCCTTATCACAATGCACACCAAATAAAAATCACACTTTGAGGACAATCATACTACAGGTGGTAGAAGGCAGAGTAAACAGTACATAATTCATTAACAATGATTGGGCAATAATAAAGTGTATAACAACATTCAATAGGTTCACTGAAGATTTACAATAATGAGGGGAATATAAAAATGCAACATTTAAGTTACCTACTAGTTATATAATAAAGATGTAAATATTCATAATGCAAAATATAACCGTAAGAGTTTCGATTTTCCCAATAATGGTTCTGTTATAACAATTAATCTAAATCCACAAACATTTTTTGGTAACTGATTGTCATTAATTATTATTTAGTTTGTTTTCTACATATTTTTAACGAACAAGACTTTCAACTAAACAGAAAAAATGTCTTTCTTATTCACCCCTTCAGCTTGTAGATGCATGTATTACGAATGATGGTGACGCTTTTCTTTATGGAGCTGAGACAGTTTATCGTCATTTCTCTATGGATAGTCGGGTATGTCATGAGAATAATGTTATTTATTTAACTTTTATTCCTTGTTGATAGATAGTTCATGTAATAGTCATTTCAGTTTTCTTTTACAATCCTATCTGTACATGAGTAAACCAAGAGTTTGTTAATGAAATTAGTTCAATGTTATATTTTAGGTGACTGCAGATTATCAAAACGGGGTTCTGTGCCTAAGTTTTGTTCAGGTAATTCATCAAAAATCTGTTTCCAAAGCTTCATTTAGCACGGGGCTATTCAGGCCATAACTAAATATTTAAAGGATTAGTTTATATCACTTCAGCCAGTAATCATACATTATTTTGTCTTCAGTGTTGTGTTTGGTCGACTACTCTTACAGTGAGACTAATGAGTTAAGTTAGCCTTGGCTGAAGTAACTCAACAATACTATCTCTAACCATCACGTTGGGTAATGCAGAAGCTATTGATATGATTATTTAGAGCCAACTTCCAGCTAGCTAGCTACCTAACACCAAATACAAACTACATCAAAGTAGAATTGTTCAAATTCGTGACGATGTCGCCGATCTCATACCGGGTTGCTTACTAGTTATTGATAGTGAAAAGATTATATCAATATTTACTTTGTAATTGCAGGATTTGTAATTTTCCATAAACCTTGAATTTTTATAGTCTTTATGCTTTTATCACACATTCCCAACGATGGAGCTTTTATATCATATTTATGAATCTATTCAGAAAGTTAAAATATCCTCTTCTTCGTGTGTATGCCCTAGTTGAATTTCTATTTAAAAATTGTTAAGTGTACCAATTGTTTATGAATTCTTTAGTCTGCACTGATATTTCTCAAAACTGAGTAGTTTTTATACAAAAGCAAAGTTCGACTACGCTGTGTACACCGAAATCGAAACAGTCAACCAGTTCTGATAACCTAATCCACCAACTTTTAACTAATTTTTGAAGATCCACTGTTTTATTTTATGAATCTTATTCTAAATTTTTATCATACTTTTATTTCTCTTCTTATAGGACTCTAGTGTGTGTGTTTTTCACATGCATCGTATACGTGACGTGTTGAATTTGACAAAATGTGATTTAGTTCTACTAGGTCTTTTATTAGGTTGTGATTATTGGACGAATGGCGTGTCTCGCTTAGGTCCAATCGGAGCTTTACGTTTGATTGAATCGTTGAAATCTGAAAATCTGCACGTTGATGAACACTTCCTTCTTGAATTTTTATCTTGGTTAACAAGTACATGTCCACAAAACCGTCAAGATTTCGATCTTAATCCTTTTGGTCTTCGTCTATGTACGAATGTTATCAAAATATGGTTGCGTGTTGGCGTAGAATTAAAAAACTGTCCGTTCAAAGAAGTAGGTTATTGAAAGTAAGGAATCTAATTGATCAATGTTATTCATTATCAATCATTGAGGTAAAACCAATGCCCAAATGTCACATTGTCTTACAAAAAAACTTAGTATCACTTTTTTGTTTCGTTATATCATTATGATAATTTCTTCGCTTGGTTTGCTAACTTGTAATGGGACAACCTAAACGGTATACACTTGTGCTAGGTCCTACGTTATTGGTGACTTGTTTTGTTCATTTTGTACACCGTGTAGTTCTGTGTATTTAATTTACCTCACATTTGGTTTAAGCAAGTAATGAAATATAAATGTTGGTGAGTGATTATTGCTTCCCTGTAAATATTGTATTTGTACAACAGTACATATTACTGATATGTCGTAGTCTGCTTTCTAAATGTTCATTTACTCAAGTCACCGCTCTAAAACACTGAATGCCACTGTAAGCATCCAAATCTACTACTACTAGTCAGTGATATGCGTTGGTAGGGTAGGCAGTGACTTGTTACTACTCATATTATGAATGCTAAAGCCGATCAGGAAACGTGACAGATCATAATAGTTGACTTTTGGAACTACTAATGTACTGGATGAACCAGCTCAAAACATGCCTATGCTTAACTTTTTTTTCTCTCTCTCATTACTTTCTCAACAGTGAATTCACTAAACTAGGAACTTATGCTTCCAATATACATTTGTGTATCTCATTTTCATTCTTTGTTTTGGCAATATAGAATAAAATTGATCTATGTTCATTTCGGAGTGCTTATATAACATCCATCTGTATAGCCACTGCAAGGCCAAATATAGCGATTCGATTTGAAGTGATAATCAGCAAATTGATTGAAGCAGAACGTTGTCGGTTTAAGGCAATGATGATAGTCTTTACCATCTCTTATTGTTCATTC